TTAGACTTTTATTATTACATGTTTTATGTGTAATTACATATGACTTATTCTTATATCATAATCTAAATACACACGACCTTATATGTAACAGCACATTATTATCGATACCTGTATCTGGTGGAAATTTGTCGGATGAGTTGTTTAGGAACTAAGAGTAGCATGCTGTACAAATCGCTAGACCCATTTGGAAGTAATTATTTCGCTATCACACGATTTTAGGCTTCAATAGTAACGTATTCTACCATATTTCATCACGGAAGTCTGATGCGAAATATGGTAGAAAAAATGATTTTGAAAAAAGCTAATTCACCCTGTACAAGTCGCTGGACCCATTTGGAAGTAATTATTTCGCTATCACACGATTTTAGGCTTCAATAGTAACGTATCCTACCATATTTCATCACGGAAGTCTGATGCGAAATATGGTAAAAAAAAATGATTTTGAAAAAAGCTGACGATTCACCCTGTACAAGTCGCTGGACCCATTTGGAAGTGATTATTTCGCTATCACACTATTCTAGGCTTCAATAGTAACGTAACCTACCATATTTAATCACGGAAGTCTGATGCGAAATATGGTAAAAAAAATGATTTTGAAAAAAGCTAATTCACCCTGTACAAGTCGCTGGACCCATTTGGAAGTAATTATTTCGCTATCACACGATTTTAGGCTTCAATAGTAACGTATCCTACCATATTTCATCACGGAAGTCTGATGCGAAATATGGTAAAAAAAAAATATTTTGAAAAAAGCTGACGATTCACCCTGTACAAGTCGCTGGACCCATTTGGAAGTGATTATTTCGCTATCACACGATTTTAGGCTTCAATAGTAACGTATTCTACCATATTTCATCACGGAAGTCTGATGCGAAATATGGTAAAAAAAATGATTTCGAAAAAAGCTGATTCACCCTGTACAAGTCGCTGGACCCATTTGGAAGTAATTATTTCGCTATCACACGATTTTAGGCTTCAATAGTAACGTATTCTACCATATTTCATCACGGAAGTCTGATGCGAAATATGGTAAAAAAAATGATTTCGAAAAAAGCTGATTCACCCTGTACAAGTCGCTGGACCCATTTGGAAGTGATTATTTCGCTATCACACTATTCTAGGCTTCAATAGTAACGTATCCTACCATATTTCATCACGGAAGTCTGATGCGAAATATGGTAAAAAAAATGATTTCGAAAAAAGCTGATTCGCCCTGTACAAGTCGCTGGACCCATTTGGAAGTGATTATTTCGCTATCACACGATTTTAGGCTTCAATAGTAACGTATTCTACCATATTTCATCACGGAAGTCTGATGCGAAATATGGTAAAAAAAATGATTTCGAAAAAAGCTGATTCACCCTGTACAAGTCGCTGGACCCATTTGGAAGTAATTATTTCGCTATCACACGATTTTAGGCTTCAATAGTAACGTATTCTACCATATTTCATCACGGAAGTCTGATGCGAAATATGGTAAAAAAAATGATTTCGAAAAAAGCTGATTCACCCTGTACAAGTCGCTGGACCCATTTGGAAGTGATTATTTCGCTACACTATTCTAGGCTTCAATAGTAACGTATCCTACCATATTTCATCACGGAAGTCTGATGCGAAATATGGTAAAAAAAATGATTTCGAAAAAAGCTGATTCACCCTGTACAAGTCGCTGGACCCATTTGGAAGTAATTATTTCGCTATCACACGATTTTAGGCTTCAATAGTAACGTATCCTACCATATTTAATCACGGAAGTCTGATGCGAAATATGGTAAAAAAAATGATTTTGAAAAAAGCTGATTCACCCTGTACAAGTCGCTAGACCCATTTGGAAGTAATTATTTCGCTATCACACGACTTAAGGCTTCAATGGTAACGTATCCTACCATATTTCATCACGGAAGTCTGATGCGAAATATGGTAAAAAAAATGATTTTGAAAAAAGCTGATTCACCCTGTACAAGTCGCTGGACCCATTTGGAAGTAATTATTTCGCTACCATACGATTCTAGTCTTCAAAAGTAACGTAACCTATCATATTTAATCACGGAAGTCTGATGCGAAATACCGTAAAGAAATGATTACGAAAAAAGCTGATTCACCCTGTACAAGTCGCTGGACCCATTTGGAAGTAATTATTTTGCTACCATACGATTCTAGTCTTCAAAAGTAACGTAACCTACCATATTTAATCACGGAAGTCTGATGCAAAATACCGTAAAAAAAAATGATTTCGAAAAAAGCTGATTTACCCTGTACAAGTCGCTGGGCCCATTTGGAAGTGATTATTTCGCTATCACACTATTCTAGGCTTCAATAGTAACGTAACCTACCATATTTAATCACGGAAGTCTGATGCGAAATATGGTAAAAAAAATGATTTCGAAAAAAGCTGATTCACCCTGTACAAGTCGCTGGACCCATTTGGAAGTAATTATTTCGCTACCATACGATTCTAGTCTTCAAAAGTAACGTAACCTATCATATTTAATCACGGAAGTCTGATGCGAAATATGGTAAAAAAAATGATTTTGAAAAAAGCTGATTCACCCTGTACAAGTCGCTGGACCCATTTGGAAGTAATTATTTCGCTACCATACGATTCTAGTCTTCAAAAGTAACGTAACCTATCATATTTAATCACGGAAGTCTGATGCGAAATACCGTAAAAAAATGATTTCGAAAAAAGCTGATTCACCCTGTACAAGTCGCTGGACCCATTTGGAAGTAATTATTTTGCTACCATACAATTCTAGTCTTCAAAAGTAACGTAACCTACCATATTTAATCACGGAAGTCTGATGCGAAATATGGTAAAAAAAATGATTTTGAAAAAAGCTGATTCACCCTGTACAAGTCGCTGGACCCATTTGGAAGTGATTATTTCGCTATCACACTATTCTAGGCTTCAATAGTAACGTAACCTACCATATTTAATCACGGAAGTCTGATGCGAAATATGGTAAAAAAAATGATTTTGAAAAAAGCTGATTCACCCTGTACAAGTCGCTGGACCCATTTGGAAGTAATTATTTCGCTACCATACGATTCTAGTCTTCAAAAGTAACGTAACCTACTATATTTAATCACGGAAGTCTGATGCGAAATATGGTAAAAAAAATGATTTTGAAAAAAGCTGATTCACCCTGTACAAGTCGCTGGACCCATTTGGAAGTGATTATTTCGCTATCACACTATTCTAGGCTTCAATAGTAACGTAACCTACCATATTTAATCACGGAAGTCTGATGCGAAATATGGTAAAAAAAATGATTTTGAAAAAAGCTGATTCACCCTGTACAAGTCGCTGGACCCATTTGGAAGTAATTATTTCGCTACCATACGATTCTAGTCTTCAAAAGTAACGTAACCTACTATATTTAATCACGGAAGTCTGATGCGAAATATGGTAAAAAAAATGATTTCGAAAAAAGCTGATTCACCCTGTACAAGTCGCTGGACCCATTTGGAAGTGATTATTTCGCTATCACACTATTCTAGGCTTCAATAGTAACGTATCCTACCATATTTCATCACGGAAGTCTGATGCGAAATATGGTAAGAAAAATGATTTTGAAAAAAGCTAATTCACCCTGTACAAGTCGCTGGACCCATTTGGAAGTAATTATTTCGCTATCATACGATTCTAGGCTTCAACAGTAAAGGACCCTACTAAGTATTATTATAAAAGTCTGATGGGAAGTATAAAAAAAAAGTATGTATGCAATTTCTATTAAAGTAGAAGTAGAAAGTAATTGAATCATGAAAGAATGGCCGCCCGCCACTGGTATAGTCTGTCGGGTAAGTTCGGAAATTTTAGCAGCCAGCTTTGGCAGCCAAAATCACATTGGTTATTTGGATTGCTTATATGGATAAAATGGTCGTCATCTGGTATGCTTGCTCACTAAATAGGAAAAACTCACATAAAAATCATATTTCCTGTTGAATTTTTTGTATAAAAATGTGGCATTGAAGTACATCATGAGTATAAAGTGTCCAATGACAAAATAAGAAGAGCAAGTACCTGAAAATGCATCCAACGCAAGGGGAAAAAGGAGTCGAAATTTTGAACTTTTTTTCGAAATATCTCGATAAATAGTGGTTTGTTCATATTTTCATTATCAAATTCGTGTTTTTCAGACAAAAATACGTAAGTCCAAAAAAAAAAATTTCGAAAAAAAACCCATCGCATGCTAAATGCAGTTTTACCGGAATTCCTTCTGCAATAGGATCAGCTAATAGAAATATACCTGAAATTTTTAGAATAATGCAAGGAGATTGGATTCATGCAATCAATCGGTAGGACTGGTCTGACATGCTGACGATCGTGTGTGTTGTAGACATTTTCAATCTATTAGCAGCATTAGCTTGTTTTGCAGAAGTGGCAGGAGGCAGAAGGAATTTTATCAAGGAATGACAACATTTCATAATGCTATAACTATGTGAGATTACTATTTACCTGAAAAATCATATTCCTTATTCTCTTGCTGCATTTTTTGTGCATCGTACAACAGCACAATGCGAAGGCATGCTTGAATTAATGAATAACGCAAGAAACACGATTCGTTTGCCAAAATATTGTGAAAAACTATTTCAACCTTTTGATTCCTCTGTAACCAAATAAAAAAGTGAGGTTGTGTTTCAATAATTCACAGAAGAATGAGGTTGTGTTTCAATATTTTGCCTCCAGGGTCGGTCTTCGTGCACGCGACCTATTCTACTTTGAATTCAGGCTATATTTTGGAGCACGACCACAGGCACGACGTTATCAAGGTTGACCAGTTTATATTTTCCGTACGTCGGCATCAACGCCTATTGGTCGATTTCGTTACCTATAGTAATATATCAATCAAGAAGTTGGTACCGCTTTGAGGAGAGCTATGCTTCATATATGAGTAGTAGATATATGCTCACGACTGAGATGTTTCTCACGACCATCCGACTGTCACAAATGTCAAATGTCACAAGTCAAAATACTACACACTAACCTAACTTCTTTCGATTTTTTTTCGTGAATCAGAATTTCAGCTTAGAGAATAATGATTTGTTCCAGAATTTCGCATTTAATACTTTTTTCAAAATAGTTTTCACAGTTAACTTATATTAACATCCGAGTTAACATCCTTTTGGATTATTCCTGTTCAAAGGAACTCAAAACCGATGGAAAATGGTTTGGATTACCCTCAAACAAACTAATAAAATATTTGTCCATATCAACAGAAGACTTGTGCATCAGAGATTGTACAGTGGTAGGAAAGGAATAATACTAGGAATTGAAACCTCATGTGATGACACAGGTTGTGCTATTGTTGATACTGAGGGAAATATATTGGGTGAATCTCTGAATTCTCAACATTTGATACATCTCAAGTGAGCATAATTTCTATTGTCCCATTAAGTAGAAACATAACCCAGTTATAACATGAGTACTTATCACATAATGATTTTAGCAATGGAGGAATCATTCCACCAATAGCAAAAGATTTACATAGAAAACATATAGAAAATGTAGTTGATGAAGCAGTAGCATTGGCCAATTTGAGCTTTGATGATATTGATGCAATAGCCACTACAGTTAAACCAGGTAAGTTAGTAACATGTAGCTGTATGCTGTACTCATTAAACAGTATTAAAAATAATGCTTTCAACAATCAAGTCCTGATAAATGGATTGATAAAAAATATTCTATTGAAGAATATGAGATAAAGAATTCAACTATATTTGTATTAAAGCAAGTATGAAAGTTCTAGGTGCAAATATTCAGGAAATAAAGAAAGAATCTATGAGAATTTTGAGGTGGTAGTATAGTGGATAACCAATAATTAGGACATAGATATAATTATGTTTATGTACATTATGTTCCTTCACCAAAACAAATTGTGTTGTCATAAGTAATATGAGAATGTTCTGAATATTGAGGATGATTCTGTCATGAGATTGTGTTAGGTGGTATTGCTGCATGGAAACACAATTGAGATAACAATGAAAGACAAAATTATGAGAAGATAATCAGGATAGAGTGGTATTTCATTCTGACAATTACAGTGATAATTATGTTATGCCAAACTGACAGATTTTGCTTTGCTATCCATGGTTACATCCAGACTTTGCTTCACTATCTATGGTTAGGTTAGACCAATCAGAATTGAAAGACAGCTAATGTTTTCCCAATAAGCACATGTTATCTCTGGCCTATGATTGGTTTTGATTATGTGATAAGTGAAATAGTCAAATGGAACAAACTGGAGAATCAATTTATCTGCTATGTAATAACATAATAATATCACAAGTAATATCATATATTCTTTACTTTCAAAATCCATGAAATTATTTATACTTACTATCAATGGTTGAGATAATGGGCAGAAATACTATACAAATGGCTGCATTCAAACCTCTTATCAATAAATACTGATAAAACTGAATATATGATTTTTCAACAAAAAAATAAACCAAATATAAATTTAAATCTCTGAATTATAAATGAATCTTTGAAACAAACTAATGAGAAAATGTATCTTGGGATTTGGTTTGATGATAAATTGAAGTGGGACAAACATATAAATGTTTTGATGAAACAAATATCTCCTATTATGGGAGCCCTGAGAAGATGTCCCATATTAACTATTTGATATATGTTTGGGGATACTGTTCAAAAAACAATTTTGATAAAATATCTGCATTATATAGAAAGACATTGAAAGTACTGTATCGTTTACCATATGATACACCAACAAATCAATTATATAAAATAACTGAATTATTCTCATTAGAAGAAATGTTCAAAATTGAAAGACCGAAAATTACATACAATATCATAAATAAAAGATTGAAATCCAATTTTATTTTAACAGGAAACAATGAAATTCATAATTACCAAACTAGACAACATGGTTTATTTCATCTTGATATTGCTAATTCTTCCATAGGCCAAAAAAGATTCACCCACTCTGCTCTCTTCAAATATAACAAATTACCAGATAATATAAAAAATTGCAGAAATACAATAAAATTCAAATACCAACTTGAAAAAATTATCATTTCTGAACGAAATAGATGATTTATTTATTTTTTCAACTTTTGATTCATATTCAAATTGATTTTTGCTCACCACTATGAAATGATTTGTCAAAATTTAATTCTTTATGTTTTCAAATATTATATTATTTATGAGTTTATTATAATTGTATAGTTTTAGGTATTATTGTTAACTATACTTCCCGAGGGGAAATTCGCTGAGGAATTTTGGTGTACACTTGTGTGGAATTACGAGGAATTACAGTGGAATTGCATGGCATTGCGAGGAATTGGGAGGCATTACGAGGCATTGCGAGGAATTGCGTGGCATTACGAGGAATTGTGTGGCATTATGAGGAATTGTGTGGCATTACGAGGAATTGCGTGGCATTGCAAGGAGTAATGATGCATTATTGCGGCATTATAGTATGAAATGCGCATGCGTTAATATCTCGATTACGTCATCGCTCGCCACGTGTTCCAAGTTGTGCTGACGGAAAACGTGAAATCCTTCTGTAGACTGTTAGCTAGGTTAGGAAAAAGACATCACGATATTACACATACGCTGTTCTGGTATCTGATGTGCTCTGAAATAAACAAAGTAAGTGACGAATAAACGTTATTTACTCGGTTATTTATTTTGGTTGTTCTTATTTTGGGTGTTATTGTAGAAGTTTTATAATAAAAAGTTAATTAGTCCTTCAGATAATTAGGTTGGTATTTACTAGATATACAGGGTATCCGGAGATAACGACAAAACTCGTGGGGTTATATAGAAACTGCTAATATGATTGCAAAATGCCATGTATACAAATAATGTCCAAAACCGCTTCGTTACTGACCGAGTTACTGACATACAGCGTGATTTGTTAGTTTGGACAACAAATTAAATCCTCCATATTAAATGCCGATTTGGATTAAATTTGGTACATGAATAAAACTAAAAGGCCTTATCAAGTATGAAGAAACCAATATCAGGACCAGAGTATTCTCTTTTGATCATGTTAAGTTACCCTGTATAATAATTATCAAAAATCTGATCTCAGATTCAAATTCTACGGAAAAGTACTAATTTATTAGCGTTTATTAGTAAGCAAATATAATCCACAAACAATTCAGTCAATTCCTTTTTGAAAAAGTTCCTTTTAGGTTTTTTCTTAGTTTAGATTTCAAATCTGCTATCAGATTATTGATGATTCTTTTACTAGGTCAATTATTCTTACAAGAACTGAACATAATAAAGATTCATTCCGGCCTTGATACGAATTTTTTCTCAAGTTTTTTTGGGTAAGTACTTCATCAGACAATTAAATTCCTCCAGTGAAAAAATTGAAAATACCTAATTTATTACGGAATGACTGAAATGGTACCAGAAACTTTTTCAACAAGTTCCTGTAGGATTTTTCCCGTAGATTTTTTAATCTGAGATCAGATTTCCGATCATTTCTATACAGGGTGAGTTATTCTTACAAAAACACAACATAAAAAAATATTCTGATCTCTATATTATTCATTATAAATCGGAATGAATATGAGGAATTGCAAAGAATTGCAGTGGAATTGTGAGGAATTACAGTGGAATTGCGAGGAATTGCAAGGCATTACGAGGCATTAAGGGGCATTAGGAGGCATTAGGAGGCATTACGAGGCATTACGAGGAATTATGGGGCATTACTAGTCAATATAGTGAATTAAGGAGCATTGTTTTGGCATTGAGGAATTAGTGTACATCATTCTGCTCAGCGAATTGCCCCTCGATACTTCCTTATACCAGAACTTGATTCTGACTGGAAGTCACATTTTCAATAAATAAATAAATAAATAAAAAATATTGAGTGCAGTGGAACTGTTATGGTTGCTTCAGTTTTCCATTTGCATGATAGAATCCACCTTGCTCATTTGAAGACATGATGAAAATGTTCATAAGTACCTTGGACGTTTATGGAGAACGGGACATAGGATCATTCTGAAAATTTGGTTACTTAAGTAGTTGCTCTTGGTCTATCCATCAAAAATATTTTCAGCAATGGAGTGTTGCTGCTTAAACCAGAAAGTTACCCAGTATTTATTTGCATTTTCCGTTGGCAGGAACTGGTGGAGTGTTTTCCACTGAGTGTATATCTACCTCTGTTCAACACATGAGAGTAAGAAGAAAACATATACATTGAGTGCAAAAACACTACACCAGCACCCGCCAATGGATTCTACCTGAAGAGGTGATTTCATCACACTTGATGTCTAGTGGGAATGATTACAGAGATATAGGGTGTTCAAAATCAAGATTTTTCAACCATAGCGTGTGAATATACCATGTATGCAGATGATACAGTACTTTTATATGAAGGCAAGAATCCTTCAGATTTAGAAAATATGATGAATGAAGACTTGAAAATATTTGAAAAATGGCTCCAATCTAACCTTTTATCAATAAATACTAACAAAACAGAATATATGATTTTTCACCAAAAAAATAAACAAAAAATTCACCTCAACCTTAAAATAAAAAATGAACTCTTGAAACAAACTGACCAGATAAAATATCTTGGTATTTGGTTTGATGACAGGTTGAAGTGGGACAAACATATTGATGTTCTGACAAAAAAAATATCTCCAATTATTGGTGCATTGAGAAGATGTCCCAAACTTGATATTAAAATTGCAAACATGATTCTCTACTCCCATATACTGAGTCGTATCAACTATTTAATAAATGTTTGGGGATCTTGTTCAAAAAATAATTTCAATAAAATATCGAGTAAAATATCAACATTATATAGAAAATCGTTAGAAGTATTGTATCGTCTCCCATTTGATACACCAACCAATCAATTGTATGAAATAACAAATACGTATTCTTTAGATAAAATATATAGAATTGAAACTCTCAAAATATCATATAATATCATAAATAAAAAATTGAAGTCGAATATTATTTTGATACGGAATTCTGAAATTCATAATCATGAAACTAGACAATATAACTTGTTCCATCTTGACGCCGCTAGCTCCCTAATCGGACAAAAAAGATTCACTCATTCAGCCTTAACTGAATTCAATAAAATACCTGATAATATAAAAAATTGCAGAAATATAGGTATATTCAAAAATGAAGTGAAAAAACTGATTATTTCTGAGCGGACTGGATGAAATTAATCATGCCATTTTTCTTTTTTTTTCTTTTTTTTTTTACAAATATTATTCTTTGTTTGACAATTTACAGTTGTTGATATATTTTGAATGATGCTATGTTTACCTATAGGTATATAATTATGTACTTCCTTATACCAGAGCCTATTCTGTCTGGAAGTTATTTGTTCAATGAATAAATAAATAAATAAATAAAATAGGATATTTCTTGTATTGATACTATTGATTATCGGTCAAAACGGCTTTCATGTCCCTATCTCAACTTTATTTGTATAAAATATCATGCACGTCATACTGGTTCAAAAAACTCAGGTTTGAAGAGGCTA